GTATGTGTCTTGAAACTCAATGTCGACATGTCCAAATTCATATAGTGAAATGTGGTGTCCCCATTTGCAACTAGATAATTTTCCACCATGCATCATGTGTGGTATATCTGATGAAGAGATACTATAGTATGAGGGCGCTGTGGAATAAAATCACTCGTTGAGTCATACATGATAAAACACAGCACCAACGACAGAACTAAGAAATTATGAAAATCCTATATTATCCACTGCAGACAAATGCTCGTGTACTGCACGGTATTTCAGTGAGATTGTCACACATCTGTATAGGCGTTACGTAGAAATCAGCTGCACTTTTGTATTTTTGCTGACTGAGATTTTTTAACAAAGTATACTATGGAAATAACTTCTCAGACCGCATGTTTAATGGCGCGAACTAAACGAGTCATCCAATCGAAGTCGGCTTGTAAGAGAGGGCTATATTTGCGTTGACTGCTCCCTCAAACATCATTATGGAATATGCCTCAAAAACAAGACTCCAATGACCAGAATACAGTTAATCTGTAAAAATGTCAGAATAGCATTTCCCCATGTATTAACCTTGACAGTCACTATTGATAGACTTTTTGACTTTTGGTATCTGGAGTATCAAAAGATAGATCAAAAGTTTTTCAAGGCGTGTTAGTTAGAAAAACTGGCTGGGAGCACAATACACGCGGCTCACCCAAACAGAGGCGGGGAAATGGGTAAATCTCAATAACTGGAACGCCTGAAATGACAAAAAAAAGGTATGGAAAACCCATCCATATATATAGTTACACAGTCCGAGACTTTATTATACTATTATAGATTTTGCCACGTATTTGAACTTTTCAATTTCTGAAGAGTGGAGGATAATTGAGGCATTCTCATGGATTACGAATTTTTACCCTCAGAGAATACCTGCATGTATGACATTTTAAGGGTCACACTTAATGTCCATTGCCATATTTGTCAAAAGGATCCCGATAGTTGCTGCTTAACAAGTCTAGGTACAAAGCAAGGAAAAGCAATTATTATTTTCACTTATTATTTTCAATTACTAAACTCTCTATAGCACGACGTTATTGTAACAATACGTTTTCAGACAATTCAATAAATCCAGACAATAACATATCATAGTAGTTAATAACTAGTGAAGTTCCATACGAGGTAGATTAGTGTTATTAGTTTGTACGATGGGTTCAATAGTGTAAAATGAAACAAGGACATTGTAAACCACAGTCGATATACAGAGTGCCTACACTCAATCAAATGACAATTAGTAAGTGAAGTTTTGGCACATGTGTCTGATTAGGGTTATTAGTATTAACACATATAACAGGACCATGTATGCAGAGTTCAATAGTTCAATACGAAACAAGAACATTGTCAACCCGAGTCGATATAGAAACTTTGTCTACCATCAGAGAGCTGCGATAACTGAGGCTTTGATGACCATTTGTCCTCCGTCTTTTACGAATCAACATTTTTAAAGATAATATATTGTTTGTAAACAAGATAACCACGAGGACATTTAGTGTTTGTGGACAGATGACACAAGTTCTACTTTGACACTGTATGGGTGTTTAGTATGGTGCGTGTATATTTTTTAAGGGAGTGTTCGTATAGACCAACTAAGAGAATGAAAGCTAGGTGAGATTTTGCTTGCGTTCGTTCGAATCCCAAATCCAATCCTGAAGTGTACTAGTATTCTGTTTATGTGTTATTCGCCAGTTTTATTAAATATATTATATATATATATAATCTGTTTCAGGACATTTGAACAAAAAAAAACATTTTAGAAGCATAGCAATACAACGAATAGATTTGGTGTCACAGTTTGCTACCAATTCATACTGGAATATTGCCAGCAATAATTAATAAAGCTTGTTCAGAAAATCATTTATTCCCGACATCATATTCAATGGCTAGTTCCAGGATCTACAACAGTAAATAAATAAACAGAAATCATTTTGATGCGTGGTTTTTAGACGACACTGCCATATCGCACAGATATTCAACACAGCCATATCGAATTT